TAGTGGAGAAATTTCGAAGAGCGGAGTGAAACGGTCAAAACCTGCGAAGAGAAAGCCTCCGATCTCAGAAACTTGAAAATCGATTTCGGACGAGTTTCCCGTACGCATCTTGCCAATCACCGCTACCGAAGATACGGCTGCATATGTGTACCCATGTATGCATGCAGCATCACGGCCGCTTCATACCAATCCCTTTGCTTCATAATTTGCTCAGCAAATGAATGAATACGAGCGTCAGAACGGTCGTCCGTTTGTGGGCGGGCGGGCGAGGAAGGCGTTTGGGACGGAATGTTGTTGCTCGATAGGGCGTTATAGGGGTACCCTCCTTGGAAAAGGCGCCACGGAGCGCCTGTCCGAGGTCACGGAATTCTGTTAAGCCAGTCGTATAAATCCTACATCTGTATAGCGATTTATCGTGCCAACTGCCTTTAAGGCAGTGTTCAGGCGTTGCCTGGTCACCCAGTATGGTACCCTCCTATTCTTTTATCGTCTCTCCGAAACACCAGCGATCGGCACCGATCGATACCATCTGTACAGTTGAGTTCTCATCGGACGGTGGGACGGTCCTTCGTCCACGTTGGCGAACGCCGCCGCGATCGATAATGGCTGATACGCCAATTAAACTGATTTCTATTAATTTCAGCTTCAAAAAGCTGAAATTCGTCCAGCATCAATAAGGAAAGGTAAATGTATTAATGAAGCTAGATTTCATTTTGCATGAATTGAATACAGCAGAAATCAGCTTATTGGTAGCGTTAGCAATTATAGATCGGCGAGAGTCCAGACGGAAGAGTGTAGGTAGTGCGGCGGCGTGTGTTCAAGCGCAGAGTCAATGTTAGAGAGCGCAGAGACAGTGATGGTGATGGCCCGAGGCCTCGCCTTTCCTCCGACAGTTCATCGAACACGCACCCGTCGGACCGCTCGCCAGCATGGTCGCAGGACCGCCCCACCGTCGCGTGAGCACTACACTGTAGCTGCGTTCCTGTCTATAGCACTGGAGCGCGAATGCAATAACAGCGCGTCATCGCGAAGTCTGAACGCTGCATAACGTGCCCTTCTTCAAGGGAAGTAATCTAAATTTGTGGGAAACTCAGTAGCCCGCAAGCACGCTAGCGTTAACGAAACAAACAAGCAGGCTAATAAGGATAGGAAGTTCATCGTAACCATGTATTGTTGACATTTTCATAAGGAATTGTCTGACTAGAATTTCTCAAACATCGAATTGGGAAATCCGTTAGTCTGGTGCGGCGCGCCAAAACTAACGCTTCAATAGTTTGAAGAACATCAAATGAAAGCGTAGTCGTGCCTGTGCCTACGACCTTGCGGAGGTGGGGGATGTGGATATCCAGCAGTCACGCGAAGGCCTCCTTGCTCCTTTTATTTGACTCTTTAGTTTATTTTCAAAGGGTAAAAATTGGTTGTAATTGGAGCATACCTTCCCAACAACAGGGAATCCGTGATATGCCAGTGCTGAGTAGAGTTGCACAACTGATGCTCCAGCTCGAATCTTCTCGTATGCATCAGCGCCGCTTGAAACACCGCCGCATCCTACAATGGGTACTCGTCCATTGGTGAATCTAAAACTCGAAAGGCGTAGAGTAATTGTCCCACTCTCAGTGTGCCAGGCCTAATACGTTCCAAAGAGCCTAATGGGGTTGATCCTACTAAACAAAGTACCTGTACATCTCTCGAACACATTCAGTGCTCATTTCACGAAGCGGCGCACCACTAAGACCACCGGATTCAACTTTATTCGCACTTCGAAGGCTATCTGGACGAGCAATTGTTGTATTTGTAACTATCAAACCGTCAATACCATATTTCGAATCCAAAACTACCTAAAGTGAAGGATTAATGTACTGACACCTACTGTGACCTGCACTTTTGTTTCTATCCTGAATTTTATGAATGAGAAGAGCATATATAGGACGGAAGCGATATAGCGATAGGACAGAAGAAACCGTGAAATGCACTTCCATTAAGTCCCGGTCGATTGAGCATTGGACGTGCATACGGAGGATAGGAATGCAAGGGCACCCAGCGGAGACGATGGGAGACAAACGCGGACCAAACCATGCATAGAAAATAAAGGTTTTGAGTGGCCAAAATGGCATACCCAAGACGACCTGACCTCTTTATACAGGTAAAGGACCCCATCTTTTGGATAATCGCGGAATGTCTCTTCAACGGAGTCACAGCACGACTCGCAAAGGAGGCGCAGTTGTTGTACTCGCCCCCACTAACTGTGTAAACACGTTGACGACAATCTGAGCCACCGGTGGCTCATAACTTTCTCCATCACTTTTCGGGTTATTGCCGGCCAATCGATCTTTTTCTTGCTTTCGAATAATCTGTGAAAGGTGAATGTCCAACAGGGATGAGCAAGAAAAATGTTGCTGCCTCCATGGGATATTTTGAATTAAAAATTGAAATTTTTCAACTAGCTACTGCTGCGGCAGAAACCTCCAAAATAGTTCTTTTTGGACGGAACCTTGGCTGCAGGGACTGCGCGGGGCTTTGATCATGAACGTGAGATCTTCATTTGTCGTTGGCGCCATATGGCGCCAGTAGGCGCCATTTCGGCGCTAGCAGTCTTTTTGGCACCGAATGCGATAGAAACCTCCATAGCTAGGTTATTTGACATCCTTGTCACGAATATCGTTGCCTTCCAGTGTTGGCGCCACCTGG